AGTAAGAATATAAGAGAGTACTTGGGGTCTCACTTTAGGTTGTAATAACATTGCTCAACCCTCCTTCTTGTCTCCATTTTGTTGAGGATCTCTTGTGGGTTGCTACAGCTGCCCTTGTTAAGATAGCTTCAGCCATGCTTTGCTGACCACATTCCACAGTAGTTTAAAATAACATTTTATTCATTTTACAGCCAGGAAAAAGATTCAGACTATATTAATTCTGAAAATAAAAACCATCTGATTATTCTTGCATGAGAAAATTTCCCATTTAAATATTAGATGCTGATATCCAAAAGTGAAATGTAGAAGTGATACTGTCTAAATTATAGATGAATTAAGGAACCTAGTCTAAGCTATTCAAATTTATATGTGGATTTGATTTTTATTTTGTTTAATTTCACCTCTCTTCAGACTCTGAAGAAACTTTTGAGACAGGAAAACCTTGGAATACTAGATCTTATTCTCTAGAAATAAATATCATCTCAGATTGGATATTTGCTAAATGTTTTTCACTCCCAGTAACTTAACATACTATGAGATGTGTTGAAGGCAAGACAGACCTAAGATGATGTTTCTTGATATGCTCTTAGCTCATCAGAGTCTTAAAAGGATTTTTGTTAAAATACTATTTTGTATATAACATATTTTAAGCAAAGATATGTTGTTCAGCACATAAGTGCTTGACAAACATGAACAAAATACATACTTATTCTTTCATTTATGGACTTGATACATATTAAACTGTGTAGGTACTTACAAAAAATCATAAAAGGTAGTGACTCACCTATAGTATATTTTATAGTTACAACAGCAAATGTCTACCTGTCGATAACAGTAAAATCATTGTAGATTGGTCTTGGATTAAGTTTCCAGATTGAAGTCAACAACATAGAAAAATCATACATCTATGAGGCAAGTTGGTCTGACACTGCTTGTATTCAAATGCTAAATTCTGTATTCCAAGATCTGGTTGCCCAAAGATGAGGCAGGGGCTGAGAGAGAGACAGAGAGACCGGGTGGGAGGGGGGATAGGGATAGGGATAGGGATAGGGATAGGGAGAGGGAGAGGGAGAGGGAGAGGGAGAGGGAGAGGGAGAGGGAGAGGGAGAGGGAGAGGGAGAGGGAGAGGGTGATGGTTAAGAAGGAAGAGGTAGCTATGGGGTAGGTGGATCGTGAGCACGTGGCCATGAAGGCCAGCCTGTTGGGGTAGGAGCTGCCCAGGCAGAACAGAGCAAGTGATATCTCAGTGTTATTGACAGAGAAGTAGACAAAAATATCACAGAGGGTTGATATCTGCCCATCTCTAATGCTTTAAGGCTTATAAATAAAATGATTTGCATCTTTTATTTGGAAATTAGATGTTCTAAGGTGAAGTAGATACCCCCAAATAATATTTGCCACAATGCTTATATCTAAAATGATGTTTACAAAGTTCTCTTCAAGCACATGGTGTAAAATAATGAATTCATTACTTTGTATTCTATACTCTCTATTGTGAATTTTAAAGATGGATTGGATTGTGATGGGCCATCTTGTCTATCTCCTGTATCACCTCAGCAATAGGAAGCTGACACTGCTTCAAACTAAAGGGTTAATTGGGGGAAATTTGTCTTGCAGCTATTTGCTGAGCAACAGGTGTTTATTGAAATATGTAACCTTGGCTTCCTCAGTGCACTTTCAGTCTTTTTTTCAACAAATATGGACTTGAAAAATGGAAGAGGAATTTTTTTTATTAACTACTTACAGAAGGTATTCTATAAGGGACAACTGGAATATTATGCCTGTCCCATTGCTATTAAAAGGATAAAAGTTGGATATACTTTCTCTTCATATAGCCATTTTTCTTCAGGTACTTTAATTATCTGTATGTAGACAAAAAGTCCGAATATTAATGTGAATTAACTTCAAGACAAGTGTGCAAAGACTTGATGATATCATATGCCTTACATCAGTAACTGATGTAAATTTAAAATACCAGGAACCAGTAAAGAAGAATAAGTAGCCCAGAGACAGTAAGAGAGGTGTACATTTACTCTTTGATAAATAATGCATTAACAAACAACAAGAAATGGGTTGTCTAATATATGAAGCTGAAATGTGCTTCATTAGTAAATCACTGGCTTCTATCCACATTTCACCATGTTAAGAAGTGCATTGACTTTGGGGGATAAGATGACTCAAGTTAAATTTTAAAATTCATACCAAAGAATGAACTCAAAAAAATCTGCTTACTCTTTAGTTATTGTTTAAAGATAAAATCAAAACACAATTTGTGTTTAGTAGTTTAAAAACCCTTCTCTTCCCTCTTTGATATTGTGTATTTTATTTTTCTCCATACATACATACATATAATTTTCTTTTTTATTGTTGATATTGTAATTACAACATTTCCCCTTTCCCTTTCTTCCCTAAAACTAGAAATCTAGCTGAGTATATGCAAGCAAGCAAGAACCCCCCACATTTGTTTTTTTTTTTCTCTACTCTTGACTGTGGAGGTTTGGAGTTCCTGGTTTTACTTCCCTATAATAACAGAAGGAAACATAGAAAATGAGGTAAAATAAGCCCTTCCTCCTTTAAGCTGTTCTTTGTGGAGCTATTCTATTCTGTATATCTCCCTGCTCTCCTTCAAACTCTTTTCCTCTTTATTCATTACTTGTTATTACATGCAGATATATGCATATAATATATATGTACAACTTCATAAATATATATGTATATATGCTTATATGTATACATGCTTATGCATATATATGCTTCTATGTATAAACATTATGCATAGGATATGTACGTGTATATGTACATGTATATGATGTATATGTACATGGTTTCTAAATACAACCTTCTCAGTCCATGTACTATTACTTTTATGTATGTTTTCAGGTCCAACTGCTTGGCATTGGACAGACAGTGTGCTCTTTTCTCAGGAAGACTACCTCTTCAGATCCCAGCTGTCTTCAGTTGCCTATAATTCTTTTTGTAGGGTTGAGGCCAGGTATTCTTTTCTCCATCTACCTTGGCACATTTCACTAACAGGAAGAGAGATGGACAGGTTGCTGCACCTTCATTTGTTAAGATGGATCTCACTAAGCGTCCTCAGGTGAGCATGTTTTTATTAAGCGGTAGTAGCACCTGACTTTTCACTAAGCACAAATTTACTATTGTGAGCATTTCCCTCATCGGTCCTTTTAATCATTTTGCCCTGTGTTGTGGGACCATAATTTTTAATCTTCCACTCTTGTTATAAAAAGTGTAGAGAAAGAAATATTTTATTTTTGGTGCGTGTGTTTGTGTGTGTTTGTATGAGTCTGTAGATGTATTGGTGTGTTTGTGTAGGTGTGTGAGTTTGTGGATGTATTGTGAATGTTTGTATCTATGTGTATATGCTTATCTGTATATACATGTATTTATGAATAGTGTGACATACATTTTATACATTTATTTCTGGATGACACTTTGTCTGATTCCCAGCCTTACAATTTTGAATTGTGTTGAAGTAAACATACATGTGCAGTGCAGGTATCTCTGCTCTATGCTGTCTTTGATGACTATATTAAAGCTATATAGTAGACTGTATGTTCATGTTGTTTATAGTTTTTGGAGAAACTCTGAGTTCTATAGTAGTGAGACCAATTTATACTCACAGCAATATCGTAAACCTGGCCTCCAGCTTGAATTCTTTTTTGATTTTGGGTTTTTTGTTTTCTTTCTTTCTTTCTTTCTTTCTTTCTTTCTTTCTTTCTTTCTTCCTTCCTTCCTTCCTTCCTCCCTTTCTTTCTTTCTTTCTTTCTTTCTTTCTTTCTTTCTTTCTTTCTTTCTTTCTTTCATTCAAGATTTATCTATTTATTATGTATACAGTGTTCTGCATGGCATACATGCCTGCACACTATAAGAGGGCACCACATCTCATTATCATGGTTATGAGCCACCATGTTACTGGAAATTGTACTCAGGACCCCTGGAAGAACAGTCAGAGCTCTTAAACTCTCCAGCCACCTGTTTATTTGCTTGATGAAGCCATTATCACTAATAGAAGAAGGTATCTGACTTTTATGTTTTAATTTACATTTATTGATGGCTAAATATATTGAACATCTTTAGATGTACTTTACAGCCAATTTTATTTCTTTTATAAAACAGTGTCTATTTGGTTTATTTTATCATTGATTTATTATTTATCTTCTGGTGCTTAGTTTTTTGAGTCCTTTATATGTTCTGCATATTAACTTGCAGTGTGCTGAACATTTGGCAGACTTCTTTCCCATTCTGTAGCCTTGCTCTTCACTCCAGCACATTTCTTTTGATTAAGATCTTACTGGATCAAAATGAAGAGTTGTGGAGCAATGTTCCCTGAGCCTCAGATGAAGAAGAGTTTTGTAGATGGATGCATCTAAGGCTCAGGGAACATTGCAGAGGAGAGGGTTGAAAAAATTCTAAGAACCAGAGGAACACAGACTTTGCTTTCAGATTGTGTCTTCTGGTAGTATCAGCAGCTACACCCCTAATGTCTTGTTAACATAAGTATCCAAACATGAGCTGAAGCAGTGATACCACTGGGCATGCGAAAGTGCACAAAAAAGCCCACAAGATCTCAACCCTTCACAAAGACCTTTAGGCAACTAAAGAATATTGAGACCAGAAGGGGTGATTGTCCTCAGATGACAGCAATTGGTTGCTCAGTGCCAAATATACATACAAGTAACATTATAGGGGCAGGTTATATTTACAAATATGTATGTATATAAAATACCTATATGCATACAATAATATTTTTTAAAAGATTTCATGAATTTGAAGAAGAGTGGGGCCAGTATACGGAAGAAATTGGAAGGAGGAAAGGAAGGGGAGAAAAAAGTAAATTACAATCTCAAAAAATGAATAAATAAAACATTACTCATCCTGGAGTGGATTAAAGGTCGCCTCAAATTCCTTGGCAGTCTGCCCTGTTGAGAAATAGTGTTTATTTTTCCACTCTCCAACCCCAGGTTGTCTTTAACCAAGTGCTTATACAAGAAGCCAAGTCTCATAAAAGGACTGATGAGTTTTTGCTTGGATCTTGAGAACCCTCAGCCTCCATGCTGGATGCCTGGCTTCCTTGTGGAAAAGGTGAGATGGGAGAATAGGGGCATCAGTCCAGCAAGGCCAGATTTCAGACATCATTGTCAAGGCAGAAGCTGGTAAAGGAAATCGCTATTATTAACCCATCTAAACTGGAAATCTATAGAAAAGCTGCTTAAGTCCCTAACTTGAAAAACTCATGAATTAGCTTACTTTTTTATAAAAATAACATATCATTTTCAATTTTGTTTTCTCTACTAAACACACACACACAGAAAGAGAGAGAGAGAGAGGAGAGAGAGAGAGAGAGAGAGAGAGAGGGAGGGAGGGAGGGAGGGAGGGAGGGAGGGAGGGAGGGAGAGAGAGAGAGAGAGAGAGAGAGAGAGAGAGAGAGAGAGGGAGAGAGAGTGTGTGTTTCTATGTCATGGCACATATGTGCATTAGTGGAGGGCCAAAGATGACTTTGCAGGAGTCAGTTCTCTCTCTCCACCGTATGGGATTGAACTGAGGATATCAAGCTTGACAGCAAGTCACCATGCTTGCTGAGCAATCTCCACATGTCTTAGAATAATTGTTATACAGGAAGGCATAAGAATGTGCTCTTACTAATTTTTCCTTTCTATTCTTCCATGAAGTAAAAGACCATCAAGTTGAGAATCCATGTTTGACTTCACTGAGGTGGTGACTTTCTCAACTTTAAAGCCAGAGAGCAGTTTGATTTACCTATGTGTCTCGTTTTAGCATCTAATAAAGTCCATTTCCTTGTTCACAGACCCAATGAAACTATAAAAATGTCAATGTATATCTATATTTATAATAAACAGTGAAAGAACAATGCAGTAAAAGTGTTCCAATTTACAAAAACTGAACAAAACCCCCAAACCAAAAAGGTGGTGTTCATGAAGCCCATGCAACCTTATTACAATGCTTCTGCCAAATTAGAAAGTATTTCCTCTTGTATAAGGGTCTCTAATAAGCAAACTGCAAAGAACTGAGGTTGACAGTGGTGTAAGGAATGTGGTGGTGGTGGTGGTGGAAGGGATGCATATGGAAGTTGTGTAGGAAAAAGAACAGGGTATGCTAAGAAAAGGCAGTCACAGAAGAAGCTGGGGACATAGGACCATGGCGCTGATTGAAAGCAGTGGTAGTATGATTTATTCTGTTTACTCTGGAAAAGATGGAGAAGTGCCAATTATTTTTAACTTATTGGTAAGAAAGATAGCATCAATCCTGTGCTCAACCAGGAAAACCTTCAGTTCTGTATTTTAAAAAAGTTCTTTCTGTCTCTAATATTTTTATATGATTTTCAATGGCTGAGAAAAAAACAGGGAATGGAAAGACTATGAGTTTACCAACATGCAATTAATAACTAATAAATTATAGTTCCTGCTTCAAAGAGAATATATATGAAACAAAATAATATATGTGAACATATATATTCTATTTGTATGATATATATTCCACATATATGTATATGTATGTATATATATTTGTAGAATATATACATTCTACATATCTGTGTATATTCTACTTATAGAATATATACATCCATTATGTGTGTATGTGCACGTGCACACACACACACACACACACACACACACACACACACATATATATATATATATATCTGCATTGCAGATGAGCAGAGGCTTGGAAGACAAAACTCTAGCTGGGGGTGGGGAGAGAAGCAGCACTCAGTGTCTGCCAAGGCTATTGGCACTTTATGGTCATTTGCCAAAGATTATAACTTTTAATTCAGAAACTAGGCCACGTTGCACAAACTTTCCTTTATTTTGTCTTGACACTAGGCCACTGTCCAGCCTGTAGTGGAGTCCCTGAGCTCACGTTCCATCTCCCAGGATGCTTTTATGTGTTTGCCATTTGGGGCTTTCATCTGTGTCGAATGTGACCCATATCTATGATGCTGGGAAAAGAGTAGTTTGCCTGCCTTCTGGATGTGTGGCTGAAAGGATTCACATGAAAATGTGCTTTATAGCTACGGTCTCTTCATTACTAGCTGCCGTGCTTACCTGCTGCACCTGGAATAGGAATTTAACTTAAGGTTTGACATTATTTTGTGGGCTTCACTGAGTCATGTGTGCCCTTGACTTGCATGACTACATAGTTTCCTAAGCTACTTCATTATAATTTCTCAAACTTCACCTATTTGTCACTCTGAGTATGTGTTGCAGAATTTTGGATTTTTAAACCAAATCGCTTTCATATATATTTCCTCTTATGAATTATGCTTTTTTTCCTTTCTGTTCTGAGCCTTCTCATATCCATAATCTTCCAAATACTCATAATTTTACCTCATAGGTAAAATCTTCTCTCAACTCCCTGCAGACTTACGAAGTGAAAAATTCTAAATTACTTTACTAGGAAGCTGGTCCTTATGCTGTATCTCCATCTGCTGTCTCTGTTCTTTTTTTTTTTTTTGTCTTTGTCTCTTTAAGTTGTTCTCTTAGTGACCAAGTCTTCAAAGGTGAACAACTGTTAGATTTGGGGTCTTTTCCCCTCTCCAGGTTTTGAGTCCTGTTTGGTGTTTTCCCCACAAGGAATCAAGGTTATAAGAACCAGGTTGCTCTACTTTACAAAAAGCCAAACCTGAGTGGCAGGAAATGTTCCTGTTGGCAGTGACTCAGTGGTATGCTATTAGCAGTTGTTGGAATCTCTTTGTTAGAATTCTGGGAACTGTCTTAGGTGTTTGCAGCTCTTGAGTTGTCTGCACTCCTAGACCCAAACTTCTCCCAAGGCCCTGAGAAGAAAAGACCCATACTGACCATGAAGATGACTAAGGTTTCAGTTCCAATGTTCTCCCCCTTGAGAAGACAGAGTTGTTTACCCTCCAGGGCTGTTTATGGAGCATGTTGAACCCATATTTATATCTCTACCTCTAGCCCCAGGCAGAACTGTATGGTCATCCCCAGGCTTATTTAACACAGTGGTTCTTTCCTTCTGGAACATTATAGACAGAGGCTTCTCAGAAGGCCCCAGGCACTGCCAGTTGGCCAGATCCTAAAAGCTCCTCCATTTGCTTCAGCAGTTAGATCAGAGTTGAGGAGATAGGGTAGAGGAATACTGTAGAAGCTTCAACAGGAAGGAAAGTGGAATAGGACAGCAAAGGTTCATGATAAGATCATTAAAGTCTTGGGAGGAGAGGGCTATGCGTATCTTTGTGGAGGCAGTAGTTCCCGCACACCAGAGGCTAGATGCTCAGAAAGTCAATTCCACAAGGGAAAGTCCTTGTCTATGCTAATGTAGGGGGGCTTCATAATCTTAATTTCAAAGTACTTAATATCAAAGGTGACATACTGAGTATATGTATATATTAATATATGCAGAATGCATTATTCAATTAGTTGCATAAACACCTATAGAATATTCTAAATGAACTATGGAATACATGTATCTAAATATTATGCAATATTACCTTATGTGTATCTATAGTAATCTGTTGTCTATATTACATTTTGGAGACTCACCATTCTCCCCAGATTCAGCGTTTGTGATGGATCAGTAATGTAAAGAAACTCCAAGCACATGGTGGACATCACACGGTTGTCCATTCAGTTTTGTAACTACTGTGAAATCAAAGCAACGTTTTAGCCCTTGCTGCATCCTTAGTACTCACTATGTTGTAAATAATTTTCATTTATATTTAATTAATGGAGTAACTAACTAATTTACTATGTATGTTTATATAGGCTGTGTGTTTGTGTGTGAATGTGTGCATATGTGTGTGCTTCTATGTGCATGTGGGTTATATGTGTGTGGTGTGAGTGTGTTCTGTGTATGTGTGTGCTGTGGGTGGGTATGTGCTGTTTCTGTATGTGGTATTGTGTGGATGTGTTTGTGCTTGTGGTGTGCGTGTATGTAAGAGACAGAGAGAGAGAGAGAGAGAGAGAGACAGAGACAGAGACAGAGACAGAGATGTCAATGTCAGATGCTTTCTCTCAGGAACCATTCACTTATTGTCTGAGGCAGTTGAGAGCTGCATCTCATTCATCAGATGAAGATGGGATCTGCTTGTCTCTGCCTTCCCACCCCTGGGATTATTAGCTCACAGACCTGTGGAAGGCTTTCTGCATTGGTACTGAAGGACCAATTCAGCTCATCAGTCTTGAGCACATTTAGTACCTGCTGTGGGTGCAGAATCATTACAAGGGGTAATTTTGGAGACACAGGTTATACACTATAGTAAGAAAAAAGGCAATTTCTCTCTGAGTTGAATGTTTAGACACAGAATAATAGTTGAGACTAATGCAGAGTTTATTCTATGCTCAATATTGTAATAAAGGCTTTAAGTGCATCCATTTGGTTAACATTCCAAGCAACCCAAGGGCTGAGACACTATTCTTGTCATCCCATCACATAGACAGGAAAATAAAGCAGTGTGAGAGTTAAGCTGTGTCAGATCACACAATTCCATGTTGCCGAGTTGAGGCTCAGTAGAGTCACATGGTTGTACAGGTAGAATGCTGTTCTGTCCACTGAACAGCTTCATGCTGAGATGCTACAGTCCTTAGCTAACGTTTTTACAAGTTGTAGTATCATAGGAACTTTGACCATCACTCAGTGTGGATGTCAAAAGTGAAAAGAAATGAGTAGCCAGAGGCATTGACTGTTGTGGCATTCCCTTATGGAACTTTCAACAGACTTATATTTACTACATTTTGAGTAACCATGGAGGTGAGCATCTGAGTGCTATTTAAAAGCTCCACTCATTGAAAGACATTCTTAGAAATTTATTGGTGAATAAAGGCCTCTGAAACAGGTCATTGTTATAATACCTAGAACTTTCCTGTGCCATAAACAGTGGCAGCAATGAAAGACTTTGAGTATAAAGGTAAATGTATTTTTTTTTACTTATATGCTAAAGTCTTGTAAGTAGAAATTCTTGTTTAGACAAGAATGTGTAAATATGAATGTTTCGTCTTAGTCTTCATTATAAAAGTACATTTATCTTTTCTTTCATTGAATAAGAAATGTAATTCTTGGGAATGTATAGTCTGAATATATAAAATAAGTCTGAAAATATTCATAGTGAACACTCGATGAAAAAAAGTCTGATTTGAATGTTTCATTCCAAATTTTGTTTTGTTTTTGGTTTTTATGATTTTTTTTCAAAGACAGGATATCTCTGTATAGTCCTGACTGTCCTAGAACTCTGAAGATCTGTCTGGCCTCAAATCTGTGGTAGACCAGGCTGGCCTCATATTTTTAAAGATTCCTCTGCCTCTGCCTCTGCCTCTTAGTGGTGGGATTAAAGGTGTGCACTACCACACACATAGTCTTCATTCAACATTTATGCCTCATTAGTTTCTGTGAATATTATGCATAAAACTCCACTGAATTTTAGGAAAGGATTCTCTAAGCAGAGAAGCAATCCAAAGCTTACTAGCTTTAGCATTGCTTTAGGCTGCTTGTTATGTTTGGAAATTTATTTTCTGTAACAACCCAATTGTCTTCAATCCACTGATGGAAGGTAGAGCTAACAAGGACTAAGGGGCTCTGCTCTATGCGGTGTTTCTTTGGAAGTGGGTGTGGGGTGATTCTTTGACAGGAAACCTCATTTTCTTTGTCCTGAACGTGTCTTTTTTTTCTTATACAACATGCCTAATATTTCTAATTTCTTTAACATACAAAAATCTTAGGCCCTGTTTGCTGCTAATCCTACCTAGTGCTTAGAAAATAATATATTTGGTTTGAAGTCATAAAACCAATTAGCTATAAGGTGAAAGACTAAAACCACATGCTCAGCTTAGAATATATCTCTTAAGAATTACAGCAATTGTCTGGCATATACACACCCCTTATGTTCAGTTCCCAGGAGCACATACAGCAGCTGCTGTGGAGCACACAAATAACCTGAGCACTGGAGACATGAAGGCAGGAGGATCAGAAGCATGAGTCAGCCTCCGCTGCATACTGAGTCTGAGGCCAGCCTGGTATACATGGAATCCTACCTCAAAGAAATAAACAAATAAATACATTCTCTTACTCTTTGCCTACTTTTTGATTTGTGATAATATTTTTTTCCTTTAAAATAATATTATACAACTTACATTGGCACATGCTTTGCTGCCAACTGAACTATTTTCCAAGTTCAGTATACTTCTTTCAGAATATTAAAGGAAAGCTTTGACATGGGGATTTCTAGCATTTGGGTGTCAATCATCTCTTTGTTTTGCTGGTCACACAATGTTTTTCTATTGATGGAATTCACTTTCTAGATAATATAATGGTTTCTTTCTACTACTTGTAGTATGCAAGATATTTGGACTTTACATTGCAGGAATTTTGACTTGCCTTTGAAGATAGGAACAAAGTATAGTGGAAATACTTTTACATTTCATTCTTATGTTTTGTAATTTTTAAGAAAGTTTCTTGCTAACATATGTACATGTTTCTGTGTGTGGATGATTCACATACCACAGCACACATGTCAAGGATTCTAAAGATAGAACTCAGGGCTCCAGACTTGGATAGCTAGAGCCTTTACTTGCAAAGCCTTCACCATTTTTGACATATTTTAGAAACAACTCTGCTAAGAATTTGGCAGCTAATTGGATGAAAACTAGTATTGATAGAGTGACACAAGAATACATTTTTTGTGAGAAGAGATGGGATTATAATAAAGGTAGAAAGTGAAGAGACACTTCAAAAACACCAAAGAAGTGATCCCAATCCCTTAAATTCTGTCTTAGTGGGGGAGGGGACCAAGAAAATGTGAATGTAGTCTGTGACACTTAGGGCAACTAAGTATTTGTTGCTTACAGACTTTCTTGTATAAAATGGATTTTTCTCTAGGCCATTTTGTTAGTCCTGATTTGTTAGTCCTCCTAGCAAATGTTTTAACTCAAAGAGGCAACATTGCCCAGGGTGGGTCAGCACTTAGTGTAGTGACATGACCTACATGGGAACAAGAACTAAAGCTCTTCCAGCTAACAGTACTTGAACCTTTAATTCCACATACAAAGATTGGTTTATAAATTAGATCTACTAAAACATGATGAGCATTCACTGAAGAATTTTCCAATGTCACCTCTTGTGTTTTCTACTAGTATCCCTGGTAATCACAGAACTATTTCTGAGGCTCTCCCATTTGTAAATTAAAACAACTACAATATGAGTATTGCAAAGGTTTAATAATATACTTCACATAAACATGATATATACTCCTAAATCATTCAGCATTGTTTTTAATTCATATGAATTCTCACAAGTGGAAATACGTATGGACAAATTTTTAAAAAATGATTACATACACAATATTTACAACAGACATTTCATTGGACCTAAGTACAACTTAATATTATGAACATACTAATCAAATATTAGTGCATGTTTGAGGTCATTATAAAGTAAATTGATTTTAAATCTTACACTGCACTCAAAAATGAACACAAAGTCTATGTTCAAACATAAATTGTCAATACCAAGTTTTATACACTTGTACAGAGTAATAAAACAGAATGTAAGTGTAAGAAATGTTATATTGTTATAAAAGATACAACTTATCAATATCAAAGTCAATATATGAAACTTAGTATTATATTAACAGTTTTCTCAAATTAGGAGGAAACACTCAGTAATGCCACCTCTTCAATAAAACTTAGCAAAGACATAGAAAATGGGGAAATCACTTTCAACAGAACAGAAATGACAACTTTTAGTGACAGGAGTTGAAAGAGGACACAGTTTTTGGTTGGAGGAGTTGTGCCTTTTGGGGGTAAGAAAATGACAATCAAAACGGTCTCTCCCCCACCCCCCTATTTACACTGATAAATTCCCAAAAAGCTAAGCACAAATATCACTTGGATAGTCCCTTACATGGCATGACTTCATTTCAAAAACAATACATTCTTCTCTCAACAGAAAGGCTAAGGCAAACTCATTTTTCTGAAATTGTTAATTTTTCTAAGACCACTGCTTTATTTGTCTTGTTAGTACAGCCTTACAAAAGCAGTCTGAAAGAAAAAAAATATTTTGCCAAAACATCTGCTTTAAACGCTAAAAGATACTATGCAACAAAAACGGTGGCCTGTGGAGGGAGAGGATAAAGGTGACTGAATTCCTAACTCCTCGAGGCTGCAAAGCAGGATATCAGAAAGCCATTCAGTTTTCCTTACACTAATGATTAAAGCCTTCATTTTAACCTTCGCTATAAATAGAGTGCACTAATCCTTAAGCTGTTTTTAAGCAATTAATATCAGCCTTCTTCCCTTTTATCCCCAGTTCCCCTGAAATGCAATAGCTGAGTTCTATTTATTCAGCGTGATGGATTGGCATTTCACTTTAAATAGAACCACATAAGCCTGTCTCTATTTGTGTGAGATATAACCGCCACCCGCATCTACTTGTATAATGCCATGACACAGAGAAATCACAGCTTAAACCAACAGTCTTTTGATGTGCTGGTTTAGAGTGACTGATAAAAGGAGGAGCTTCCTGAATCATTTTAGAAAACAAATGGCTACACTTTCTAGAACAATTGAAGCAGCACACATAATACCTCATTCTGCTAAAATCAGTTATGGAATAATAGTCGCTGCATATTTCCTCCAATGAGTGCTAGGTAAATGGATACACTGTTGGCTCCCTTTCTCTAATATAGTGGCTGGTTTGGTGATTTATAAAGCTTAGCTTTATAGCTACAGTTAAAATACACACACATCTACACATACTGACTTTTGGAGTAGATGCTCGGAGATCTCTTTTCGACGTGGAAACTCTTTTGAGTGGTGCGATGGGATGGTACTGAGTACCTGTAACTGCTGTTCCTTTCAGTACAACAAAACACGCAACAGAACAGTGCTCCTCCAGCGATCAGCACCAGCGCTGTGGTCCAGCCTATGTAGAGGGCTTCTCCAAGCTCACGCTTTAGGGCCACGTCCACCAGTGGGTTGTAGAAGTCTCTGATGATGGAATTGGCAACCCAGCTGACAGGAATGAGCACAACGAAGCCGGTGATGACAAAAATGATTCCGGCTGTCAGCAAGATGCGGCTCTTCACGTTCTCATCGTCCCCTGTGCACCTGGTGCACTTCATTCCAAGGATGGCTGTCATGAAAGCCAAGAAAGACAGGACGGACGCAGCACACATCAGTCCTCTGGATGCCTGGAGGTCTGGACTAAGAGCCAGCAGGGAGTCGTAGACCTTGCACTGCATTCTGATGTTGGCATGTCTCATGCAGTTCATCCACAAACCTTCCCAGCGGTTCTCAAAAACCACAATGTTACTTTCGATGAAGGCAGACACTCTCCACTGAGGCATGATAGTCACGGCCACTGTGCCCACCATGCCAACACCACCAAGCACCAGTGCAGCCATTTGAAGAACGTAGGTCGCCATGGTCCTTCCAAGTTGTATCCAGTTGGAACGCTGAACAGGGAGGTAGGGCCGCTTTCAAGCAGAAATCCGTGTGCCTTGGGAGGGAGGGAACAGTTCTCCTGTAGAAAGGAGCTCACAGCACAGATCGGTGCCCTCTCTGGCCAGATTAAATCTAGTGCTGGCTGGTGAGACAACCCCTGTCTCTCCCCCCACATTGGCTCTGACAGTAAACTTGCAAATCAAGTGTGGCAACTTTCTTAGCCAATAAGAGGGGGATGGGAGCTCAGGTGTGTCTAAACCAACTCTGGATACCTGGGAAGGCTGGGCTTGCAAATAAACATTCCTTGTACTTCTCTATTTTCCAAGAAGACAGCAGTATGTTTACCTAGAGGCATAATTATGAATGTTTGCACAATCTGCAAGGAGAGTCAGTCTCTCCCGGAGGCAAAAGAGGCATTGCTCTTCCCAGAGGTAATCCTGCCCCTAAGCTGTTGTGACTGAGGTTACGGTAAAATCTCTTCCAATGGATTGTACAGGGATGGTTCCAATGCCAAATTAAAAGAGAATGAAGGATTGATAGATTGTTCATACCTGGGAAACCACATTCTTTGAGACACATGATCTGAAGGGTTGATTTAATTTGTCTAAAACTTCAAAGCAAGCTCTCCTACAGTATGTTCAGCCAGCAGCACATGCCAAAAGCTGAAGCTAGACTGAAGTAATTTAACAAACCAGGTTGCCTTCCTCATTGGCACTGAAAGTATGTGGTGTTTTTTGTAGTTTTTTTGTTTTGTTTTGTTGGCTAGGAAAGCTACCTGTTATATATGCTTTGTGGGGGGGGGATGTGGAGGTAGAACTTGGAGCTAGAACAGTTCTATTTTAGACAGAGTTTAGGGGGAATCCTTAGTGGATCTTGGAAGACAAGAATGCTCAGGGAGAAGTCTCAATGTGGGATTTCAGAGGAGATCAATGACTGCCCGAACATTATCTTATTCTTTGCACACTTTTTGATTTGTGATAATATATTTTTTCCTTTAAAATGATATTATACATCTTACATTGGCACATGCTTTGCCACCAACTGAACTATTTTCCGAGTTCAGTATACCTCTTTCAGAATACTTTCCTGAAATACTGATTTATAATGAAGAGTGAAAAACACACCAAAAAAAAATCGAGTGGTTTTGTGAATTCCTAAAGTGCTTAAATGAGGTTGTCTGTAGTTGCTAAAGCAGAGGCCTTACTTTCTAGCCCGTACTTCCTGCTCTGTCTTCTAGTCTGAAGAAAACAGAATTCCGGATGGACATCGTACAACAAAGACCCAGGTCTCTGCAAATAGCTGGTACTTGAAGTAACATCTTCCTTGAAAATTACATTAGGTGTTAATCAAAATGGTCTTCCCTACCTATAAGAACATGTGTTATGCAAATACACTTAGTAGCTCCTTGTATCTGAACTGTCTTTGCAAACTGACAGTTGAACTGCTAGTGGAATCAGCCTCCACTCTGACTGGGGAAGCTCCACTAGAAATTTTCTATTGGAGACCATCTTTTGCCTTCTGCCCTGTCTTCCCAAACTTCAAGCTATTTTCCTCCTTCAGGTAGTCAGGTAGCTGGAGGTATACTTGAACTTGCTATGCGGCTGAGAAAATGTCCTTGAATTCCTTGTCCTCCTGCTCCTGTCTTTCAAATGCTAAGATCACAGGCATGTACCATTCCTGGTTTATTCAGTGCTGGAGATCAAACTCAGGGCTTAGTTACACCAGGAAACCACTCAGTTAACTGGGCTACATGCCCGACCCTTAAATTGTGGCTTGATTTCCTATCACTATAACAGAATATCGACATAAAAATGACACTCCTTCCCCTTTCTCTCTCTTTCTTTGTTGTTGTTTTTGAGATAGTCTGTGTAGTATATACTGTCCCGGAACTTGTTATGTACCCAAGAATGACCTTGAACTTCTGATCTCCCAGCTTTTATGTCTAGAATAGTAATATTATAGGCACATGACTCCACCTCTGTTTCAGTGATAAACCTCTTAAAAATTTGCTTCTGCCTATTGCTCTGTACAAAATTAAATACTAAGATTGGGGAAACTGTTTCAGGCTCCCCCATCACACTGAAAATCTGATGGTCTAGAAAATGAGTAGTTTAGAGACACTTTTGAAACACAATATATTTCTGACATTGAAAAAAAGTAGACATGCTGGAGGAAACCATACTCTAAAAATTAGTGGCTAGCAATCCAGGTTCTTATTTTACTATGCTGGATATTTTGTATTAAGTATGTAACTTAAAATGTTACATTTCCATCGATTTCTCTATTTGTTTACTGTTAAGAGCTCTTTGGTTCTTCATTATCCTGATGTAGAAATAAATACCAGTGTTTTATCATTAACTTGTATCAGTTTTAAGAGATTCATGATAGACAAGGGAATAGAAATATATTGTTTGGGTGAGTTATCTTCAGTCTGCAAATAATGACTTAAAATTGAATCTGGAGAGAGTCTTAATCTTTAGTTGTCAATCCGGGAAAATTGAATAAAGGACATAATTTAAAAGTGAAAAAGGAATGAAGGCATTGGTTGGGAACTGACCAACTTGTGTTTAAAGGATGAGAAGGCATGTGTTATCCATCAAAGCTGAATTTCTCACTACTCATGTAATAAAATTTCTAGGAACTCTTTATAAATATTGGTGAACATGTGCATCAGAATGAGCATATGACACAGAGAACTACCAATGAACCGAATGTTTCTCAAGTATATATTGTACAATTGGCTTTATATGTGACATGGTCCCTCCCCTTAAGCATTGGGCTGTGTTAGGAACTACATTGATGTAAATATTCTCCTCATTTAAAAAGTATTAAGTATTTCTTTAGTTGAAATTGCCCTAGCCAAAAGATTAAGACCTGTAGGAGAGATAACCCTGAGCTGACATTGGAATTAGAAGCTAACTGCTCTGGGGTACCCAGCCCAGGATATCCAAATGAAGTCACACAGTGATTTAGATACTCCATTGTACTTTGAAATAGCCATTTGCTAAAGATCAGGGAAATGAGGAAGGCAAGGGTAAATTGGGAATGCCATGTTTTCTAGAGACAGAAGCCTGAGTTCGGAGATTGAGTCTTTCATTGTTTACTTAGTTTTCTGTGTTACTGAGATGATTAACTTGGCTAAAAAATTCAAGTAGGAATGGTGATTAGAGATTAGTACATTAATATTTTTTCATTACTATGAACTACCTGAGCAGATTAAAGGTTTCACCTGTGTTTTTACAAGGAACTAAGTTGCTATGAAGAATAAGACAGAAACAAGTGCTCAAATTGACATATGCATATGTGTGTGTGTGTGTGTGTGTATGTATGTGTGTGGAGAGAGAGAGAGAGAGAGAGAGAGAGAGAGAGAGAGAGAGATATCTTAGATTGAAGTTGAAGATGATCTGTAATATAGCAAGCAGTACTCACTGACCTCAAACTCTTGTATGTCCTCCTGCCTCAGCATCCTAAATTCTGAGTTGACTTGTAGCTATATCAGTTCTGTAGCTGAGCACCCGAATAGGTATGACTGTATACAAAATGGTAAGGGCACATGAAATTATTTGTGATCTTTATTTTTGTCTTTATTGTAGGGTTCTCAAGCATGAATTTGTAGATGATAATATGGTGTTGCAATGTCAAAAGATTGAACATACCTGGGACAGGCATAAAACCTGACTCCCAGGCAAATGGACTTGCTTTCAAAAACAAAATCAGAAGTTCATTTAAGTTCTGTCATTAAATTTACTATTAAATTCAGCCATCACAAGTACCTAACACAGGCGAGGGCTTTCTGTTTATAAGCAAAGACACTTTGCCTTCAGAAGCCTCTTGTTTTTGTTCTCTTTATTTCTGTACTCCAACTCTTCACTCTTAGCATTCTAACATTTTTTTTCTGGCTGTTTAAAAATGATTATTGATTCTATCTTCACAAGGTTGCCAACTCCTTTTATTTCCAAAATATATGTGTGTGGATAGTTTTCAGCCTGTGTTGTTAATTATTGATCACTGTCAATTAGCTGCACTTTGCACACCAATTTGCTTGAAAAGGCAAGTGAACAACCCCCCCACACACACACAAACACACAAACACACATAAATCAATTTGAGTATGTGTGTTTATGTGTGTATGTGTTCTTAATTTTGAACTGTCTATTGCTTCATGGTCTTTTGAACCAACTCCCAACTTGTTCTTGATAACCATTCCTGTGTTTTGCTGATCATTAGCTGTCTTCCATCTTGGGCACCTCCTGATGATCTGTTTGAGTTGTTACACTTAAAAATAAACTCTTTCCTCTACAGCAATCATCTAGTGCCATAGATATTTCAGATACTTTGAAAAAGTGTCATAGATAGTCCTGTTAATTGCAATGGGAGAATGGTATTCCTTATTATTCTGAGGACTGAAAAGCCAACATGATTAAGGTCTGGTGAGGACACTTGTATTAGTGAAGGCATGGAAACAGGGACAGAATTTGTCTTCTTACCTTATTAGCAGAGAGAGAGAGAGAGAGAGAGAGAGAGAGAGAGAGAGAGAGAGAGAGAGAGAGAGAGAGAGAGAGAGAGAGAAACTCATGTTCAGCTGTTCAGCCTCCTTTCTCGCCATACATGGAGTTTTACCCTCTGGACATCTTTCTTTTGTTCCAGGGAAGAGCACCATGTTTCTCTTTAATGATACTCAGGCCTTTAATTGTTACAAGTTGTGGTCTCTATTCCTTGTCTGACACTATAAACTTTCATGCCTTTCCAAGCCACAGCTTTTGCCCTGCAGTTCTCAGGATTTTCCTCGCTTATTGAAGAGCTAGATGAGAGCAGTGGCCATGAAGCCACCTGAAAACAATCTCATCCTTAACTTTACCTGATAAACAGCTCTGTTATTAACTTCACCCATGCTTTCTAGGCAGACTGCAGGCAAGTTCTTTGCAAGAACATCATATGAATAGTGTTGAAGGAGTTTTTACAGAGTGATTGTTCTCCTCTGAAACCCTACATGTGAGACTTCTCCCTGAGCATTCTTGTCTTTCCAGATTCACTAAGGATTCCCCCTAAACTCTTCCTAAGATAGAACTGTTCTAGCTCCAAGTTCTACCTCCACATTCCCCTGACAAAGCAGATTCGAAG